TACATATTTAGTTGCAGCTGGGGGTGGAATTGTAGAGAAGAGCATTATGTAATTCACTACATAATTAGACTATAATTGTTCACGTATTATATAATAAGAAGCTGAACCTGTGCAGGGAATAATGGTGCAGAGAATAAATTGTCACTGGAGTGCATATGGATTTTCTGAGTGACCCTGATAAGGCAATGAGCCTCAAAGGTCACAAAGGGTCAAAGGGATAAAGGAGGAAGAAAGCCAAAGATGAGGTACTGTGGGAAAAGCCCCGGGCTTGGAAGAAGTCAGCCCCTGCTGATTACTTCTCGTGTGATGCTGGACAAATCATTTCATCTCCTCTAAAGGTCAATTTTTTAACCTGTAAAATGATGTCAGACTGGATTACTTCTAAGGTCCCTTCGAGCCCTAAGGCTTTGGTCCTATGAACTAGTCTGACTGTCACCTAATATACTGTATGGTGCCCTTGTGGTCCAGGGGGACCCAGACCACATGCATTTGAGAAGAGGTTTAACGTGTTCTGTACGTCTGGGCAGAACCCTGAATCTGTCTTCCAATAAGCACCACTATGCTAAAGGTGTCACAATTCACTAAGCAAAGCAGAGCTGCCAGGCTGCTCTACAAGAGACATAATACACTCCCCTCTGAACGGAGGGACAGCTTCATCCTTCTCGTAGGTGCCCCACAGACCAACTCCTTCTGGGCTATTATTTTAATCTTTCCAGGTTTAAAAACTAGTGCAGGCAGTTAGGAGTAAGAGTCTCCTTTCGCAGAAAGATTCCTTGCTGCTGAGGGTATGGACAAGGCTTCCGCTTCATTGAGGAACAACACTTGGAAAGGCCTGCACTAAGAATCTGAGTCCAGTCACTGCAACTCTTACAATTGACTCCTGCCTCACTCAACACCATTCTCCTGTCAAGTCAAATCAGAGAGCATTTATTAAGCGCCAGGTACCATGCTAAACACCAGGGATGTAACAAAAGGCTAAAACAAACAAAAACAAAAAACAACCATCCCAGTCCATAGTCTAATGGGGGAGAAGACAGGCAAACAACTACACACACACACATTATGTAGGTAGTAACTCTTCATCAAGGTATGAGTATTTATACACTACAGGGAATATGGAGAGAAGTTAAGAGTCATACTGCTCTTTGTCTCTGTGTTGTCTTTCACCTAAACCATAATCTGATGTAGATTTAGTAATGCTCAAGGCCTCTCTCTGTTGTGTCATCTTGAATGACTATGCTTGACTTCAATGCTGCACAATGGAATGAATACCTTTGAAAGAAAGGACTTCTTAACACAGCAAAAATACCAACTAGGCAACACCAAGGTGACCACCCTGAATTATATGATGCGAGGCTATGTGACCATTACTATCACCTAGCTCATTAAATATTTCATCAAAAAATAACAATGACTTAAAATTAAATGAATAAATTTTCCAAGCAATAGGGAACCATATTGTTTATCTATAAGGCAATTCATTGGCAAGAAATTAATCAAAAGTGAATAAGAATTTCTATATAATTTTTTCAGATACTAGCTATGTGACCGCAGGGACATTTAACCTTTGTTGGCCTCAGTTTCCTCAGTTGTAAATGAATATAATAATAGCACCTACTTCTGAGGGCTGTCGTGAGGATCAAACGAAATAATATTTTTAAAGCACTTACCACAGTGCCTGATGCATTCAGTTGCTGTCATTTTTTAAGCTGTGTTCAATTCTTCATGACTCCATTTGGTGTTGTCTTATTGGAGTGCTTTGCCATTTCCTCCTCCAGCTCATCTGACAGATGAGGAAACTGAGGCCAACAGGGTTAAGTGACTTGTCCATGGTCACACAGCTATTAAGTGTCTGAGGCAGGATTTGAACTCAGGAAGATGAGTCTTCCTGACTCCAGGCCTGACAATTCTATTTACTGCACCATCTAGCTGCCCTCTGACATATTGTAGGGGCTTAATAAATGCTTATTTCCTTCCTTCCTTCCTTGCTAGTAATTGTGAAACCATCTAAAATGCATTACTAATACACTTACATGACCTGCCTCAATGGATTACTTTGGATCAAGGAGTTTGAAAACTGTAAAGTATGGTTTAAATGCTATTATTATTGTATAATAAATATTAATTAGAAACAGTAGAGGTCACAAGAAATGCAAACAATAATTTACATATTAGTATGATTAAGAAGCATAAGTTTTTGAAGGAAAGGCGATGTGATTTGTGCAGAGGAAAATCATTCTTCATTCATCTTTGAAATTGCTTAAAGGGCTTATAGACACACTTAGACTTTCTAGTAAGTCAGTTAATTAACAAACATTTATTAAGTGTCCAAGCTTTTATGCTAAGCACTAAGGATATTAAGACAAAAAAGTTTCCCTTCTCCTCCAAAACAAAAACAAAAACACACAAAGCTATTGGAAAACAAATACCAAAGGATGTATTACTTGACTCAAATTCTGGCTCTGCATGGCCAAGTCACTAAGGCTGGACCCTTGTTAATTCATCTATAACACAAGAGAGTTGGGCTAGATGATCTTTAAGGTCCCGCTGCTCTAAATTCTATGATCCTACGGGCAGAGTTGTATTAATAGATGACCCTGTGATCAGTTGCTTAAACATTTCTTAGACATTATAGAAAAGATATAATGAAATTCTAAGAATGGGGAGGAGGTTTGCTCTTCCAGGTAATGAAATATAACCACAGCAAATTAGCTTCTGGAATCCTTCATGCAGTTTAGGTTCTCAGTGAGGTAAGACAAAACTGGGAAAAGTTCAAAGAAAGGCAATTGCAAAAATGCAGGTGGAGCCAGAAGATTAAATTTCTAGTCTTAAAGGACAAAGGTTCTGAGAAGATGTGATCATAGCCTGTAAAATCACAAAAGGAATTGGAAAGGTGACATATACTTATTCACGGGGCACACCCTGAAGCTCAAAGTTCGGGCAAATGTAAAAGAAATTAAAGAAAAAAAACAATGGCCAGCAAACTTAATGGAACTTGTTACTCTAAAAGGTAGCTCACTTTCACAGAAGCAGAGAGGGAAAGGATCTTGGAAGTCGCCTGATTCAACCTCTCTCCAGATAAGGAGACTGAGGCCCAGAGAGAATGTTACTTGCCCATGGTTACACAGTTATTAAGAGACAGAACCCAAGTTATAAAGTAAATCTTCGCATTTCACATCCAGCTGTTTTTACATTTTACCATGCTGTCTTCTGTCAAAATAAAAAGAGTTTCAAGAAGGATAAATCCAAGATAAATTCAGTTAACAGAATCAGAGCTGATTCCAAAGGAGTTCATGAGACCAAAGATGTAGCCCCAACCTTGAGTCTGAACAACCATGTACTTCCATAGACTGTCCTATGGCGGGGCTGTAACTTAGAGAACAAACACATAGACACACAGACACACACAGACACACAGACACACACACACACACACATTTTTCAGGATGATGATTAGAGCAAAGATTTACTCTTAATCATTTTAGATGTGTACTGAGTAATGTGGGGCTGGTAGGTTGTGCAGTGGATAGAGTACTGGGTCTGAAGTCAGGAAGACATCTTTCTGAGTTCAAAACTGGTCTCAGACACTTACTAGCTGTGAGACCCTGGGTAAGTCACTTAATCCTGTTTGCCTCAGTTTCCTGATCTGTAAAATAAGCTTGAGAAGGAAATGGCAAAACACCACAGTATCTTTGCCAAGAAAATCCCAAATGGGGTCACAAAGAGTTGGACACAACTGGAAAATGACCCAACAACAAAATGAGTAATGGATTTGTGTTTTAACTTAGCAGCACATATGTACTCCCTTCCATCTTAGTAATGAAATGCTATATTATTGATGTTAAGTTCTTGATGCCAAATTATGGTCAAAGGTCTAGGGTGCAGGTGGTATAGAAGACAGAGAACTAGGAGATAGAGTCAGGAGGACCTAAATTCAAATCACAATTCCTCTCAGCCTCAGTTTCCTCATATACAAAAGGGGATAACAATAATACCTACTTCACAGCATTCTTGTGAGGATCAAATATGTGTCAAGTGCTTTTAGAACCTTAGAGTATCATATAAACATTAATTATTATTATTATTGTCCAGAGTAGTTGGGTCTGGTAAGGATTAGGACATCATAACTGGATACAATTTGTTACTTAAGAATGAATACACCAAGAGATTTTGGTATCAGAAACCAAAATTCTGACTAGTTTAGGAGGCTGGATAATATGTTTCATCCTTTCTCAGTCCCAAAGAGCTTTATAACCTGCTACTTAAAATATTTGGTTCAAACTATAACAATTCACATTAACTTCTCCACAACAACTCTATGAAGTAAGTAATAGCAAGTATTTTTGATCCCATTTTATAAACCAGAAACTGAGGCCAACAGGGTTAAGTGACTTACTTAACCCCAATAGGGTAAGTGATTTGCTCAAGGTCACACTAGTGTCTGAGGTCCAATTTGAATTCAAGTCTTTCTCATCTTCAATACTCTTCCTGTTCAGCATAAAAAGGCTATCATGGCAACTTAATTTTGGCCAGAATGATAAATATCCATCCTTGTATGCTAACATCATATATGTCCAAAACAAGAACTCACAAATAGAAATAAAAGGTAATCCTCTGGAGCTACTTATTCTTCAGCCAGAATCTGACAACTGAATATTGAGTAATACTTTCCTCGTACGTTATTTTAAGAACGTGCTTGAAATAGCAGTCTGTGCTGAGAAAGGCAGAGGAGCTAAAAACTTGTCCCATCCTCTCCAAGGGCTCCCACTCTGGCTACATCATAAAAGATGGGCGATCTGGGCTCTGCAGGCCCAACTGAGAGGACATGGGTTCAATACATTAGAGTTACTTTCTGACCTGGTGCTCCTGTTTGACTTTCTGTGTTATTCTTGGTGCTCAGCCATTCACATCCAACCCAATGACTTCAAGTGGTGCTGACTGACAAACTGATTTAGAGTATTGCTAAACTGGAACTTAATTTTGCCATGTTTCCAACGTACCGTAATTTGAATTGTGATCGAACTTCCCCGTGTTCTATTTGAATTAGTTCATTGTAACAAGCAGTGATACTGCTATTCTCCATAAATCTCTGAAAAAGAAAAAGAATGAAAGACAGCCTGTGAGATACGTACAATCATTTGTTAGAGAGGAAAACCCTAAATATAATAAATAGTTCCCTCCCCCTCCAACCTCACTTTGATCTCTATATTGCAAATAAGTAGCATGAAATGAAATGAAAGGTGGAGGGGGAGCTAAGATGGAGGAGTAAAGGCAAAGACTTGCCTGAGGTCTCCCCCAAACCCCTCCAAATACCTTTAAAAATGACTCTAACCAAATTTCTAGAGCAGCGGAACCCACAAAAAGATGGAGTGAAACAAATTTCCAGCCCAAGACAACTTGGGAGGTTGGCAGGAAAGGTCCGTTGCATCATGGTGAGAGAGGAGCACAGTCCAGCCCAGGCTGCGCCAGCATAGACTGGGCCCCAGCAAACCAGAGGTAAGCCTTGGGAGTCGCTGAATCTGCAGCAGCAGTGGCTACTTTCAGAGCTCTCAGCCCACACACCAAAAGGGGATTGAACAACTGGTCAGAAGGAGACTACAGGGGTCTCTTTGCTAGCATTGAGGCAGATCTATGTTGCTTTGCTCATACTTGGATCTGGGTCTTAGTCCTGGGTGGTCGTCCTGGTGTGAAGAGGAGCACTAGCATAGCACAGCTTGTGGCCACAGTGGAGGGGCGACCCTCCTCACAGCTCCAGGGTAGAAGAGAGTGCTTGTGGTCACACCCAGACCACAGAACAGGTCAGAAGAGCAGAAAACACCTCTTCTTCTACCATACCACCTTGGAAGAACTGAAAACCTACAGGTCTCTAGAAGTATTTCTGAAAACAGCTGCACAAAACCCCTGAAACTTGGGACAGTGTGCCATCTACCCTGGAAGTAGAGCCCTACCTTAAAAAAGAGTTAAAAGGTCAAGTAATATGCTGGGAAAATGAGCAAGCAATGAAAAAAAAAAAACCTCTTGACTATATAAAGTTACTATGGTGACAAGGAAGATCAAAACATACACCCAGAAGAAGACAACAAAGTCAAAACTCCTACATCCAAAGCCTCCAAGAAAAATATGAATTGGTCTCAAGACATGGAACAGTTCAAAAATGATTGTGAAAATCAAGTAAGAGAAGTAGAGGAAAAATTGGGAAGAGAAATGAGAGTGATGCAAGAAAATTATGAAAAACAAGTCAATAGCTTGGTAAAGGAGACACAAAAAAATATTAAAGAAAATAACACTTTAAAAAAATAGACTAGGTTAAATGGTAAAAGAGGTCCAAAAAGTCAATGAGGAGAATGCCTTAAAAAGGCCAAATCGAAAAAGAGGTCCAAAAGCTCACTGAAGAAAATAATTCCTTAACAATTAGAATGGAGCAATTGGAAGCTAATGATTTTATGAGAAATTAAGTGACAATAAAACAAAACCAAAAGAATGAAAAAATAGAAGATAATGTGAAATATCTCAATGGAAAAACAACTGACCTGGAAAATAGATCCAGGAGTGATAATCTGAAAATTATTGGACTACCTGAAAGCCACAATCAAAAAAGAGCCTAGGAAAACTGCCCTGATATTCTAGAACCAGAGGGTAAAATAGAAATTGAAAGAATTCACCAATCACCTCCTGAAAGAGATCTCCAAAGGAACACTCCTAGGAATATTATACCCAAATTCCAGAGTTCCCAGGTCAAGAAGAAAATATTGCAAGCAGCCAGAAACAATGCAAGTATTGTGGAGCCACAATCAGGATAACACAAGATTTAGCAGCTTCTACATTAAGGGATCAGAGGACTTGGAACATGATATTCTGGAGGTCAAAGTAGCTAGGATTACAACCAAGAATCACCTACCCAGCAAAATTGAGCATATTCCTTCAGGGGGAAAAATGGACATTCAATGAAATAAAGGAATTTCATGCATACTTTAGAAAAACCAGAGCTGAATAGAAAATTTGACTTTCAAATACAAGACTCATGAGAAACATAAAAAGGCAACCAGGAAAGAGAAATCATAAGAGACTTATTAAACTGTTCACATTCCTACATGGAAAGATGATATGTGTAACTCATAAGACCTTTCTCATTATTAGGGTAGTCAGAAGAAGTATAGATAGACAGATGGCACAGGTGCGAGTTGAATATAAAGGGATGATAGCTAAAAAATAAAATTAAAGGGTGTGAGAAGAATGCACTAGGAGAAAAAGAAAGGGAGAGGCAGAATGGGGTAAATTATCTCACATAAAAGAGGTAAGAAAAAGGGAAGAGGGGGGAGGTGAGAGGGAGTGAGTCAACCTTACCCTCATCAGAATTGGCTCAAAGAGGGAATAACATACACACTCCATTGGGTATAGAAATCTATCTTACCCTACAGGAAAGTAGGGGGGAAGGGGATAAGACAAGGTAGATAGAAGGGAGGGCAGATTGGGGGCAAAACACTTTTGAGGCGGCACAGGGTGAAAGGAGAGAGAGAATAGAATAAGTGGGGGAATAGGAAGGAGGGAAATACAGTTAGCAATAGTAACTGTGAAAAAAAAATTTTGAAGGTAAGTTTCTCTGATAAAAGGCCTCATTTCTCAAACATAAAGAACTGAATCAAATTTATAAAAATGAGAGTCATTTCCCAATTAATAAACGATCAAAATTTTTCTTGAGGTTTTTTTTGTCTATGTTTTCTTTCACCACATGACTATTATGGAAGCATTTTGCATGACTCCACATATCTATATTGAACTGCTTGCCTTCTCAGTGGGGGTGTGGGGTGGGGAGGGAAGAAGGGAGAGAATTTGGAACTCAAAGTTTTAAAAATGAATGTTAAAAACTTGTTTTTACATGTAACTGGGGGAAAATAAAATACTAAAATTTTAAAAAGCAATGAAATTAAAGACCCCATGACCTAGAATACATCTTCTTAGGTTCTAAACTGTTTCTTAGTCTTAGAAACTCCATGGAAGTCATCAGGTGAAGGCGACCTTTGGTTACAACCTTTGTTGACTGCTATTCAATTGTTTTTCAGTTGTATCCGACTCTTCAGGACCCCTGTTTGAGGTTTTCTTAGCAAAGATACTGTAGTGGTTTGCCATTTCCTTCTCCAGCTCATTTTACAGATGAGGAAACTGAGGCAAACAGGGTGAAGTGACTTGCCCAGGGTCACACAGCTAGTAAGTGTCTGAGGCCAGATTTGAACTCAGGAAGATGAGTTGTCCTGACTCCAGGCCTAGCACTCTACTCACTGTGCCACTTAGCTGCTGTTGACTGTGGACTTCTCTTAAAGCAAGGAATTAAGAAAAATCACACTTTTAACACTTCTCTTCCAACAGTAAGACACAGGCAAGTTTTTAATATCATCCATGGATATCTATTAGGAATATGCTGGCAAATGTTTAATGACCAGCTCTTCAGAAAAAGGAAATGCCTATATGATACACTTTTAAGCTTAATCTGGATTACTAACATTTTCTTCATCATTTTGTTAGTCTAAACAATCAACAAAACAATAACTCAAGCCCTGACTTGGAGTGTTTTCCATAATATAAATGCTTACATTAAAAATTTAACAATCAGCTGTCAGGAGCTGGTTTAAGCTGGCTACATCCCTGATGGCTATTTAAGTTCTATAGTTGTTTAGCTCTACTTTTTAATCAATAAATTTCCAAAAATCTAATATTGAAAAAATAAATATCTGTCATATTATTACATGTTGGCTTATATGCCCTATCTGCTGAGTCCTGCATTTCCACCTAAAGAGTAAGCTCTTGAATGCTTAGTGCTAAGCACATTACAGGCAATTAATAAATGTTTGATGAATGAATGGACAATGGAATGTATTAATATGAAATGTCTATTGGATTCAATGCCCACAATCAAAACTCTGAAAAATATTTATTATAAAAAAAATTTAGGAATTCATCTGTTCATTCACTGGAAATGTACTGAATACCTACTATGCACAATGATAGGTACTGAAGGCTGTATGTAGGTAAATTTAAGATATAGTCCCTTAACTCAAGGAGTTCATAATCTACTGAGGGCAGGGAGCAGATAGATAAAACATATACAGAGATTAAATCTAATATAAATGGTCATAACAAATACTCAAAAAGTCACTCATATATTCAAGTGCTCCAACAACTCAAGGCAGACATATTCTTTTCTCAATAAAACACAAAGCAACTTCCTCCATAGTTGGAAAGTACCATTATTGTCCTGCAAACAATTGATCTGTATATATTATGACAAATTCAATAAACAATAAAGTGTATAATCTATAGGGGATTACAAAGATGACTAAGCCAATGGTATCTACCTTCAAGGAGTTTAGAGTATAGTAAGAGAGGTGAAGTATGAACAAAAATAATTCTAACTGTACAACTCAATGTGGAAAAGTACATATATAAGCAATTTGAAGAGAATATATAAAAGCGGATTGTTCAGTTTAAATTTCATACACTTAAAGGGGAGTAACATGAGTAAGGCCAAACTTGTGGTTTGGAATCAGATTGAGAAAAGTACTTAGTGTCAAGCTAAGGAATTTGGATTACTCAGCACTTAGCACAGTGCCTGGCACATTGGTATTGTTGTTGTTCAGTCATTTTTCAATTGTGTCCAACTCTCTGTGATCCCATTTGGGTTTTTTTTGTCAAAGATACTTCAGTGGCTCACCATTTCCCTCTCTTGGATCATTTTACAGATGAGGAAACTGAGGCAAACAGGGTTAAGTGACTTGCCCAGGGTCACCCAACTAATAAGTGTTTGAGGCCACATTTCAACTCATGAGGATGAGTCTTCCTGATTCCAAGCCCAGAGCTCCTTCCTCTGCACCACCTAGCTGCCCTGGCATATAGCAGGCATTTAATAAGTACTTATTGAATGATTAATTGATGCTGTGAAGAACCTTGAACCTCAGCCTAGGGAATTTGGCTATGAGCACCCTTTCTTATTCACAGAGCATTGATTTATTTATCATGAAACACATAGGAAAGGTAGTACTGAATACAGCAAACTATGAACATAGTGCCATAAGCATAGTAAAATAATGCAGAAAT